CCACTATCATTCAGATATATGCACCAACAACCAGAGCCAAAGAAGAAGAAATAGATGATTTCTACCAACTTTTACAGTCGGAGATAGATCGAACATTATTATTGTAGAAATAGAAAATTAGTAAAATGTGTATGAGGATCCAAAGGGACGGGGAGGGTGGGAACTGAAGGGTGAGGATGGGAGGGGGGAAAAATCATAGAGTCACACAATTTGGTGGGTGGAAGGAGGGGTGAGTAAGGAAATAGGAAAGATCCTGTCTGGAAAGGCAGGGTAATGGTGGCCATAGTTCAATGATGATTAATTTTATAAAGCATGATGAATGGAAATGAATGTATGAAACACAATGTGAATGAAGGACGGTGTGAAACTCTCTCTCTCTCTCTCTATATATATATATGAACTTTGTAAGCAAGTAAATATAAAATAAAAATTTGAAAAAAATAATTATGGCCTCAGAAACCTGATGATGGGTCAGTCATGTAAGTCAGAATCGAATTATTAGAATCAGGTCTAATCTTTATGAAGGCACACTGTCATGTCTTTCTCCCTGAAAATAACTACTTGGTTCAAACTATCAACTTTACAGCTCTCAGCTGAGCTCTTTAAAATGTGAGAAGAAAGATGTAAATTTAGGATAGAATTACCAAACAAAAAGAAAGCAGGTTTTGAAAACTTTATATTTTCTGATTACAGTAGAAGTTAAAATTTCTCCACAACCTAACCAGCATTTGTTGTTTGCTGCTCTGTTGAACTTCACTATTGTTACTGGGTTGTTTTTATTTGCATCTCTCTTAGAGCTAGGGATTGTGAACATTCATTCATGTGTTTGTTCACCATTGAATGTCTTCTTTGGTAAAGTGTCTATTCATATCCTGTGCCCATTTTGCAATTAGCTTTTTTACTTTTATCTTGTGGTGCTGGAGGAATATTCTATAAATTCTAGATATAAGTCCCTTATCAGACATGTCATTACCAAATAGATTTTTCCAAGGCTGTGGCTTTCCTTTTTACCCTGTTGGAAAAGTTTCTGGATGTTCATAGGGATTTGATTCTTAGAAGGTCCCATTCATCTATTTTATCCTCTCCTGGTTGTAGGTTTTTCAGGATGCTTGGAAGACTTCTCATGTTGTGGATTAGGGCTTCTTGAGTTCTTGCAAGCTTTTCTCTGATTAAATTTATAGTTCTTGATTTCATTGTTGGTGGGAGTGCAAAATGGTGCAACCACTCTGGAAGGCAGTATGGTGCTTTCTCAAAAAGTTGGAAATAGAAATATAATTTGACCCAGCAATTCCACTACTGGAAATATACCCCAAAGAAACCAGAACAGCCATCCAAATGGATATATGCATGTCTATGTTTATTACTGCGTTGTTCACAATAGCAAAGAGATGGAAACAACCCAAATGCCCATCAACAAACAAATGGATAGAGTAGCTGTGGTATATTCACACAATGGAATACTACACAACACTAAAAAACGAGGAAATCATAAAATATGCAAAATGGGTGACCCTGCAGGACATTATGCTGAGTGAAATAGTTTAGTCACAAAAAAGACAAATATTGCATAATTCCACTGTTATAAAACAAGACTGACATGGGGATTGAGTGGAAACTAAGAACAGAGGGGATAAATAATGCACACTGCATTGAAACAAATGAGAGAAAACACTGTTTAAAAGAAATATGATTAGGTATTATTTGCATGACAACAGTCCAGAACAAAAGGTGCATAGCAAAGTGGACAGAAAAATTGAGGGTGGGAGAGGAAGGAAATTGTGACACAATGAAATAACTTTTAAAAGATAAAAGCGAACTGGGTGTGTGTAGGGAGGAAAATGTGCAACAATGAATGAATGGAAATCTAACTTTGTTAAAATCTTAATAAAAATCCTTTTGAAAGTTCATTACAGAAAAGCACTACAAACTTTTGTTACTATCTTGAAAATATCAAAAGGTCAGAGTATAGGCTCTTTGAAGAGAGTCACAGCTCCTCTTAATCAAAACAGAGAACATCTAGAATATTTTAGACAGCTATCTTTCAACTATGTTAGCAAAAGGTCCAAGGGAGATGAGTTCATCTCTATAGTACCTGTAGCCAAATTTCTTGTTTAATGGAATAAATCTCTGTGATATTTCATGCAAAACTAGGAAGGTTTTTGAAAATTTTCTATCAGTAAAAACACTGCCAACTTTGACCTAAACAAACAGAGTGGAGGCAATAAAAGCTGTCAGGTCCTGGCAATATACAAGCAAGAAACAGGATGATCAAAATGTTGTTGTTGTTGTGTGTGCCTTTGAGTTGCTTGTGACTCCTCGCAACTCTATGCACAAGAGCTCTGAACCCTGGTCTACCCTCTGCCAGCCTTACTGACACACCTACCCCCATTACTCCAATCATTGAGTCAATCTCATCTAGCATCTTTCTCTCCTGCCCTGTCCCTCCACCCTCCGAAGAACGATGTTCCTCCCCAAGGACTTGTCCCTCCTTGCAACATGTTCAAAGTATGTCAGACGAAATTAGAGAATCCTTGCCTCAAAGAGCAGCCTGGTTTCTCCCTCTCTAGGATAAGCCTGTTTGGTCTCTTAGCAGTCTATGGTATGTATATTCAATACTCTTCTCCAGCACCACAGCTCAAAGGCATCAATCCCCTTACTACCATCCCTAGTCATTGTCCAGCTTTCTGATACATAGAAAGTAATTGTGTGCTTTCCAAAGGCACCTATTGGTGGATGAAGGCTTCAGCTTTCAGATGTTGGGAATCAGTTCACATTTACACACATACTTTTCAGGCTATCATGAGTCTTCTGTCTACGAATTGCAGTAGGATAAGAATCCCTCAAGGCGATATTTGTGGCCTAATCAGTGAACATAACTGAAACCCAAAAAAGGTAAATTTCTCTAAAATGTGGGTGTGAGTTTTTTTGTTTGGTTTTTTTTTTTTTTTGTTCCCTCACATTCTTCTATCATAAAAGTTTTTATCAGAAGTGATTTGTGGTGCTGTTATTGTGTGTTGTCAAGTCAGAACAAGACATAGCTGCCCCTCCAGCAGGTTGTCAGAATCTGTAAACTGCACAAGAGGAGATTGCCCGTCTTTCTCTTGTAGAGCTGCTGGTGTATTTGAACCTCATGCCTTCGGGGTGGCAGTGCAGCCCTTTCCTACTATAGAACAAAATATGATTTCTAGGAAATTCTTGCCACATTAATCAGAAAGACAAGTCACACTGTGTTCAAGAAGAATTTTATTAAAATTATTTGGCAATTTTGGTAGCAGTTCAAAGTCTGTAACCAACAATGTACATGTTTATGCTGGTTCGCTGTGTATTTAGACATACATCTTTCTCTCAATCCTTTCTCTGTTGTTTCCTTTACCAAATGATAAAATGCCCTAAGATTCTCTATCTACAACAACCAATTATTTGTAAAAAAGGAATTTGTAAAATAAGATTGAAAAAATAAACCCCACAGATTCAAAATATTCTCTGCAAATTTTAAGGACATATAAAGTATGTTAAAGACATCTATATTTAGTTCCCTCCACTAAGGCAAGGCAAGGTAGCTGTTGTTGGTTGTTTCTGGGTTTTGCTTATTGTTAATTTTTATCTATACACCAAAGAATTTTTAAAACCTATAAACACCCTCATTGACATTCCTAGTATGATTCCAGTAGAATTAGAGAAAAGAATCTGGAGAGCCATTGATTTTGTTCTTTAAAAAAAAAAAAAGTATGCTTTTTAGTGGGATTTTTTTCCTGTAGTAGCTTAAGACACTCTGAATACTTAATGCCTTAGAGTTAGCATCAGCCCAACAGTAGGTCTAAGTATTGGCTTATTTAAGGTTGTTACTGGACAGCAAACAATAGGAGGTCTTCCTGTTCAAGACAAATCGTTGAGTGAACCTTAAAGTAAATCTTCACAGGGTCTCATGCTTCTCAGTTATTCTCCAATGAACCCAAAGTTGTCTTTAAGAGAGAGAGAAAAAAAAATGGGAGGAAATCTTGTTTAAGAATCTTTACACAAAACTTGTAAAGATCTGCTACACAAGTTAATTTCCCTGCTATGTATGAAGTTAACTGTGGCAATGGAACTGTGGTTATTTTGTTCCTGTGATAAAACACTCTTTCAGGGACTGGAATAAAGATGACAAGGCAGAAAAAGAACCTGAGAAAATTCTGTCGCTGCTGCTCATAAAGTCTATCTTATTATAAGATTCATGAAGACGTTTTTAGTGTCTGATTTCTACATTAGCTATTTCTGAATATTGTAAATACTAATTAAAGGTCATTAAATGGACAATTTCATTTTACCAGAAGTAGAAGATTGCCACAGCATATTAGTGTTGATTGCTTTAGTATTTTTCTGGTGTAAACTCTTGTTCCTCAAAGGGGAACATGCCATTATATTCTCGTTAATTAGTTTTCTAAATAACATTAAAAAGGAAACACAAACTTGGCAACTGAAACAATTAACTTTCTTAAGTTATGTCATTAGAAAAGAGTCACAACGTAAAAGGTCAGCTACTGTTGTCCCAGAAAATTAGACCTATAAACACTAAGTCACAGCAGTAACAGTGATATCAGTAATATTTTATTGGATCTTTTATTTCTCTAATAAATGAAGATGAAACATTTAATTTAGGAATGAAGATACATTTTGAATTTAAAAAACAATTATTTGCATCTAATTTAATGCTTAGTTATAAATTGAAACTATCACCCAAATTAAAAAACAATTAAGATAGGGTCTTTACGCTGAGCTTTCTAATAAATCTCACTTTTTAATTCAAGAATACGTAACATATCAAAATAATAATTAAGTCAGTAAAGCAACATATATGTTGTGAGGTTACCATCCTATACTCATAAAAGTATTAATTTCAACTGTGGAAAAAGAAATCATACTTACAAATGGAGTCCTGATTCCAAATTTGCTATGAAATGTCATGGTGACTTTGTTTTTATGTCCCGTTCTTTGGTCAAAAGCGTAACACGTATCAAAAGGTGGGATGTACAGGTGAAGGCTCACAGCAGGCTCTGTGTGGCTCATGTTCTCTACCCGGTGTAAGCCAATGGAATCTTAGTAATAAACAGGAAAAGCAGAAGATGCTGCTTAGGTATTGTTAGAAGGGAAAAAAAGCTGTCTATCATTCAATATCATGAATCAAATTTAATGCACATGAAATGAATGTAAATTAGTTAAAATTAAACTTCCATGTTTTTCAATGCAGCATAGTATTCCATTGTGTGGATATACCACAGCTTCTCTATCCATTCGTTTGTTGATGGGCCCTTAGGCTGCTTCCAACTCTTTGCTATTGTAAACAAAGCTGCGTGTGTGCATATATCTGCTTGGATGGAAAAACAAGGAACTCATGCAATCTATTCAAAGTGGGTGACCCTGGAGGACATTATCTGAGTGAAATATCTCAGTCACAAAGGGACAAATACTGCATGGTGCCACTGTTGTAGAATGGGTCTGACATCAGGGTGGGGGTATGAAAGAAAAAACTGGATAAATTATGTATATTGTATTGAAACAGATGAGGGAAAGAACAGATTAGAAGTGATATATGAAGGCCTCTG